GTCGTTCCGCGATGCCCTGTAACCTTTCTCTTGTACGCTCGCTCTTCTTATTCGACCTCTCCAGCTCGCCAGCTGATATTTTGCGCATTTGTACCTCGCAGCGGACGCACATACGCAGTTTAAGTCTGCTGGCTTCGAAACTGCCAGAGTCCGCGTGGGTATGGTACAGCCGTACTTTCACCTGCAAATGGATTTTTTTGCTCTGTCCGTAGAGAGCTTTTTTCGCCTCTAAGCACATAGGTACTACGTTTGCAGTATAGAAAAAAGGTGGAGAAAAATAAGAGTCGCATCCAAGCTTTTAATACACGTAATCGTTAGCTTGTTCAGCTGTGAACGCTCGGACCTTAATCGCATAAAATCTTTTACGATTACAGCCAACAAGCATTTTTAATCACGCTCGTCTTTGTCCATGTGTCTACTCTACCAAAGAAAACGTGTGAGAGCTTTCAACAAATGGAGTGAATTTTACGACTGGGGCAGCGATTGTTGTCAAGATATTTGTCATATGAAAATACGATATAAAACAAACGTTTCTTCTCGTTCCAATACATCGTCTCGTGTAGGATATGCGAAAATTCGACCTAAATACAAAAGAAGAAAATTTGAGCTAATTGCAGAAAATGATGCACGACGTCATGACCCGCAAACTCAACTTGTTTCGCCAAAGTGAATTTAAGTTCATTACGGAAATGATACGGACCGTAAAGGTAGCAACGAGTATCTGATTATGCGCCGCGCGCCAGTCCACAGTTGGACGGCATACGCCTACGCGTGCTCAACTCACGTATAAACACAATTCCATGATCGATTAGACAAACTAATTGATAAGAGAAAGAAACGATGCAAGATACACGTTAGTTTATTAATTAAATATTGAAAATTAATTTTGACACTTGGCGTGATTAGCATCGCTCCATACATTCGATACATATTGGCTTCCGTGAGTGCATTAACTTTTTGTACATCAATATAGATGATAGCTTATAACCTCTCGCTGACACGTATTTAGTCGTGCGGAAGAAGGTCATTAGTGGTCGCTTACCCACGCACATGCACATACATATTCACGGCTCACGCGTGCATATATAATATTATACTCGTGCGTTATCACGCCTAATCAAGAGTGCAAATAAGAGTACGTCCCTTCGTTGAATATACTACGTACGTAGATAAGAAATGGAAGCTCGCAAGCTGTACAATTTTACGTTTAAATTTTTCTTTACATTTTATGGCATTAAAATCTGTGCCATCGATAATGTTCTTGTCTCCAGAAGATATTCAAAAACCCTTTAAAATTTTTCAACAGCGTTTATCTGATATCAGTAATAGATTCTCCACTTGGGCTTATGCATTTTCTAAACGAATTTCGTTCGCTTTGATGTATGTAAGTAATTATAAATAATTTTGACCACCTGATAAATTGCCAATGGTAATGAAGGAAGTTGAATTAATGGATTTTAGAAATGAAATATTTTCAACAAAGTGCCGAGCGATTTTTTTGCGGAAAATCACTAAAAAGCTTGTTTTACATTATGTTGTGCGTATAAATTTGTCAAAAGTATACGATGGTAGAAAAAATTTTTTGATACTTATGTTGTTATTTCAAAGAGAAGGTAAAAATTTTTTTGGAATTATGTCCTGTTTGCGAAACGTATAAAGTAAAAACTGTACGACCAGTGGCAGTACTCCTTTGTTACACTTTTCTAGATTTCTTTTACTTCAAACAATATTAACTAGTCGTCCTCAGTCTTCTGAAGAGTATATTTTTCCTTTTTATATTGCTAACATTCTTATATGCAAGCTTGGACGCAGCTGCTTTGAAGTTTGAAAATCTTCTTATAAACGAATTTTCTCTGAATACAAGTTGCATCTCTTCTAATGTCTTTTACCCTACACATTTTTAATTGGAATAACTAGTGCCTGTTGTAATTTTAATGATCAACCGGGAAGGAAGCCGAATGCAAAATCACTATGTTGTATGAACAACAAATCAAATTTTTCGACAGAATTACCATATTTTTTTACGTGAAATTAACAAGCTCCGCTGACGAATGTAAGCCAGTATATCATGCGATGCCATACGGAAATTGCAGAGGAGAGGCAACTATAATAATATAAGTTATAAAACACGCAAGCCACGTGAAGTGTAATAATAATACATAACTGAATTATTTCAAGCCTCCATATGCAGACGACGCCGGCCCATACATACATGTATGCATGTTATGACGTAGACGGAACAGCGAGATAAAGCTCCGCTCGTACGTGCACGTGCATCGATCGATTCGTGCCAGCGCGAAGAGAGAAACTTGGAAAATCGCGTTAATCGATCGGGTGTGCGCAACACAAGCAAGAGAAACTTTTGCCCCTTGAAGAAAAAAGAAAGTTAGGCGAATAATCATAAAATTGACGTAGAATTACCAAATTTTGTTAGATATGTACGCGTACGCCCACGCATCGAAAGAAATACGTGATTCAATTGTTTCGCTGAATGATTTTTTTGTTAAAGCATCATGCATTAAAAGTAAACTTTATTAGAATCAACAACAGCGAATCAAGAAAAAAGTAACCAATTGTTGTTAATATTTTAAGGGAACCGTGCGATACTAAATCATCAATTAATGCGATAACACGGATGTCTTATATCCGGAAAAAACGGGGTCCAAAGTAGGGGTGTGCGAAAATATCTAGATACTCACGTTTCTTTCGAGTTTTTTTGGTTTCTGCCCTGTTTGCAGTTGTTTCCGAGTGATTGAGATTTTTCATCTCATTAAATTCCGATATTTTCCAATTGACTCAGTACCAAAATTTACAACCTTCAGTACAGAAATAATATGAAAATAATAAACTACGATAAAACATACAGATGGTATCTGGTATACATTCGGTAGGATGTAGGTATGTACAGTATCATTTTGTCAGTTATGGCCTCGCCTTCTCGTTGAGGGGACCTTTTCATTGAGAGATCGCAGCTATTTGAAAAAAGGCTCACATAAAAGCGATCATCAATAACTTTGCAATTAAAGGCCGGATAGCATCTACTTATTTGTCGATGGGTGCGAACTGTTTCCGCTTTTAGTCCCCTGCAAGTTCCCACTGCTCGTTTGTATGAATAAAATAATTCACAAAATCTTTCGCATTATATTGTTATGCCTGCATCATGAATCTAGGGTGTTACTTCTTAATTTCGTTACGCCTGAAGGCGAAAAGAAACTACTCCTTTTTTCAGCAAAATAAAATTAATAAAGCTCGAGCAAGAACAAGTCGTAAAGATCGTATTACTCGTTCTTTTTTTTTAGCTTTTCTCAAGCGCAGAAACTCTCCGTTCGTGTCATATCCAGAGCTCATGAACTTTTCTCATTAAAATTTTTTATTCGTACAATAGGAAAAATGTATGCAGCGCACCTTGGCTAAATTATGGCTTTCCGATTGTTTTCCGTGGCAGCAAAGCTCCATTACAAGTAGCTTCAATCTCGACGTATTTTCTTATCGTGCAAGGCAATTTATTATGGATAAACTAAAACAGAAGCCACGTGCAATTTCCGCTTTATTTTTTGAATTTTTCAGTTTTATTCTTTAATTTTGTCTTAATATATCTAGTAAAATTAAGGTTAAATTATTTTCAATAGATGCGTTGGATAGAATGCAGAATAAATTTGATTGAATCTCGTATTTTCTCAAACTATTCTTAATTTTGAACACGATACTTGGGGAAAAATGCTAAAATCGATAAACGCTCCTCGGTGCAATTCGCATAAAATTGACTCTTCATCGATTCCGACCGAGAAGGTTGCACGAAAGAAAAATAAAAGAGCCAAGGATTATTCGATTAGATTTTTCAGAGATCGCTGCTATCGACTTGCGGTATCAAAATGTCTACTTCTATGTATAATATATATTATAATATATAAATGTAGCCTACTTACGCACGAGAAGCAGCATGAGTGTGTACGCTGTGAAATTTTATTGGAAATGTTTCAGATCTTACCATCAGCTACCGCAGTGCATTTTCTAATAGCATTATTCGATTCTCTCATAATATAATTAGCTTTGTGCTCGCGTAGTAAATATATATTGTGTCGAGTGCGTCACGCCGTCATAGTTTTCTATTTCTCTATATATCAAATTCATTTAGTAATGCCCAAGAAATGTATTATGTTTTCCAAGGCTATTCAGCAACTGCAGCGAAAATATACATACGATTCAATCTCACGTACCTTTTGGGTTGGCGATCTGCGTGAGGACGATGAATCCTAGAATAATCTGAACTTGATTTACTTTCTGATCTTTTTTCGTAACGGTCACTTTTACAGTACGTCGTATTTCAGTTGACTTTTTTGCAACGTAACATCTAAAGAAATTTTAATTTTCTCATGTTTTGCGTTTCAAAAAATTCGAGAGTACTAAAAATTTTTTTAATTTCTTACTATACTTGTAATATAAAATGAAAATACCTACCACATTACATGATTTTGAGCAACCACATCAATTTTATGTCCGTGCAGATTTCTTGAATTAATTTTCGCAATAACCAGTTGACGTTTTTTAACCGTTCGAAATCGAGTCTTTCTTAAATGCGGGATAAATATTATGAGAATCGATTCACAAGGTATTACGAGGCAGCTAAAAAAATAAGGTCGCGCCCGTATTTGCATCCTTTAAACGACGACGACAAGACAATCCGTCAAATTCGCACAGCTCCGAGGAAAATTGATTTTTAACTCTTGACGTCTCTGACAATGACAACGACGACGACAACGTTATTTTCAATTTGGCCTCGAGGCCTCAGGCGCGAGCTGCAATTGTGGATAAAGTCAAGCTCTCGATCGTCCCCAATATATATTAAATGCACGTACACAAGAGCGAAATATTTTTCTACGTGTGCAGACGATGAAAAAGCCATGAAACGCGGCCGTGTCGAGCGTGATTGATACCAGAGCAGCGAATATGGAGCTATTAATATTACTCCGCGAGCCGGGTTCACTGGCCTGCTGTTTAGAATGCTACAAGTATATAAACTAGACTGTACAAGTGTTTGCGTTAGTGTACGAGCGAGTTGAGCTACATTTTTAAAGGCAGAAATCGATATAAGTGCTCTAACTTGTTGAATATATATTACGCCTCGCAGTGTATGCATATAGCGTGAGCGGCAAACTTATTCAATTATTTTTTCATGTTAGCTTGTGAAAGAGAAGCGCACGTGGCCACGATTTATTCCGATTGCTGTATACATCTACTTCTTTTTACAATATGAAGAGTTGCATAGAATTCGAAAATCGATTAATCGGGCTTTGTCATTTATGACTTGCAGAAACGAGCTTCGCAGCGGCCAGGAAGAAGAAGCGATTTATATACCGTATCAGGTCTGTAGAGAAGCACAGCCGGCAAAATTACTGGCCGGGGAACTGGTGCAGCTTGCGGCAAGGTTTGCGGGGCTGCCGGATCATCCGCCAACATTTCTTTCAACAGCTTCCGACAGTCCTTCACGACCAATGTTAATTTCTTGAAACGAAGGTAAGGAATTTTCATAGCTGCCCCGCTGCAACTATTATCGTGTTGTACTCCCTTTCGCATCATCGTAAACCAATTATTGTTATAGAATATACAACTTTTACTTATTTATGGTTACTATCTATGCGTCGAAGTAATGTTACGCGCTCATTTGTGCACGGTTATTATAATGGCTCTACATTGTTCAATGTTACTTTATAATGTACTTTATTATATACTTTTACGATTATAAAAGGTAGAATACCAGCTGTAAATTACTTTATCAACTATAATTAAATTATACAGAGTAATTTTCAGAAAAATCGATTTCTATAGATTCATTATAATACAGTTTTTTTTCATCTCTGAATAAAAAGTTGAATGGTGTATTCTTCCTTCAATTGTTTTTTAATTTAAATAAATTATGCTGTGTTAGTTTACTTTTTGACATTCTCTTTTGAAAATTTATTGTGACAGATACTATATGTGTATGCCTGTATTTATTAAAAGTCAGGGATAAATTGGAGATTTAACGTTTAACATATCTTTAATGATGATACAAAAAATGTAGTACATTTTTCATTATACCAACCATTCAAAAGTGTATGTCTCATGGGTCATTACAGCTCAAATGATTCGTTCTGAAGTTACAACACGTCAACTCATTTTTATAGAATGTGAAATATCAAAAACTAAAAATAAAAATCTGCAACTTGCAATCGTCGTATTTTAAGTAAAAATGGGGTCTTAACGATATGCTCAAAAGCATTTCAAATGTGAGGTTTTAGAAACTTTGAGAATAAATTTACGAGAGTAATTTTATCTAAAATACATGCTTTGAAAAAAAATTTTACGTTCGATTTTCCAAGTAGAAACTGTTTGAGATATTATGTTCGTATTATAAAAAATGTTTTTCAAATAAAAATGTCCGATAGTCCGATATTTTGGATTTTTTCCTAGAACTTTTATTTCCGCCGAGGAGCATTCGCACTATAAACTGTTTTCAATAAAGGGGGAGTGAATCGAGGAGGGTTATTTTTGATGCGATCTTTCTCATCGGAGGCTAATTTACTTATTAAACCTCAATTTTCATTTGCATGAGAGTATTTTTCCAATGCTTTCTATCAATCATCTACTTTTCTTTCTTTAGACTAAGACGTTGATAAAATTCGATGTCCTTATTTGAAATTTCTTTATAAATGCAAAAAATGGCATTGTTTTTTGAATTTTCTGTACGTAAAAAATTTTTTCGCAAAAATCGCATTAGTTAAAGCAGTGAAAAGCGCATTGTTCTCAAAACTTGAACTTTAATCTTATTGCGCAACCCGTTACTCATTCGAAAAATTCTCATTTCCGCCCAGCGATTCTCTTGTAAAAGTCAAAAGTAGCTTAGTGTCTCGAATGAAGGAAAAGCTTGGTTGATGCGCAAGCCAGGCTTGATTTGCCCCGAGAATTGCGTGGCAGTGGCAGAGATCGCGACATTCGAGGGTAATTTCGCGTATAATTGAGTACTCAGTTGAACTTTCGACTTGATTCGGCCGAGGCATTTGCCACACGAACTGTTAAGGAGATTGCGCGAAGCGTGTTTTAACTCGGGACGAGTATCAGTCCTTATACGATCGGTCAAATGAAAAATTGCCAACAATGCGAGATCTAATTAACAAACCGAAGTAATTCGCGATAGCGATTATTATGCGGCGGAATTCTGCATGAGCATTAAATGTTATGCGAACTTTTATGCAGGGATCTATCCTGCTGTTGCATGTCAAAAAGTGTTTCACTCCTTCTCGTCTAAATAATTCTCGATGTTGCTTACTTTGCACTATCGCACAGTCAGCACATAACTACCTTATAAATTTTTACGTGCCTATACACCATTCATATACAGCATCATTATTTTCAAACGAAAAAAAAAACATTTCAAGGCGGCGACAAATGAGACTTATAATATGATGATACAGATCCGCGTATTTCGTTGAAGCAGTGGCGCGTAAAACTTGAAAAATTGCGCCGTATGCTCGAGACAAAATGTGTGAAGGAAAAAAAGGAAAAAAAGTAGAGGAAAAATGTCTCGTTATAGTCATCGTCGTCGCATAGATGTACGTGTGTATCACGCTTCATTCTTCGCGAGCACAATAATAAAAGGAGAGAGAAAAAGTTATGTCGCACCTCTCGAGTCTCCGAGCGGGTAATCATCAATTTTCTCGAAGCGAAAGTCGAGACGATCCCTTTTTCTCTCCTCCTTTTTTTAAATCGCATTGGAAATTTTCATTAGAAACGACGCACTATAGAGTCCTGTAAAAGTCCTGTAAACAATCTCGCAATACTTTTTCTCGTGCGCAGTAATAAAGCACATTCCATGCGATCGATTAAAAGTCAAAAATGTTTGTGAGCTGAAACTGAATTGGCCATTCGAGTCGCGACTATTCGTTTATTACTGGCTTTAGGGCGTGTAATTCGATCGCTATGATAGCAATAACATGGCCAGAAACAGGAAGAATATCGTCTCGGTGTGTCCTTGCTCGCATACGGGTACACAGTCACTGGTCGCTTAAATTTTAGGTGCAAAGCAACAATGTAGCGGCGAAGCAGAATAGCCACGCGATGCTTTCGAACTGCGCATAAACTTTAAGCACGCGTAGTTTGACTCGAAATTGATTGTGGCTCTTGTGGCCCCACAACAATTGCATGCGTATGGCCATTCGCCTTGTGGTAGTCGTCATTCGGGGGCAGCGTCACCTTATAAACGGACCCACATTGGATAACGATAAAAGGTTAGCTCGGGCGCAATTTTACGTTTTATTTCGCATCTAAAATATTCACGAGTCCAGAGGCGTACGAGCGAATTTATGAAGATATTCTGTGCTCGAATGCTAATGATATCTCACGAAAGAGAAGCTGAATCTATGCGAGCGTACCGGAATCATCCACACAATCATTCGAAAAAACAAACAAGACTCGTCTTCATAGCGCGCAAGAGTGCACTTTCAAGCGCATGAGCCAATTTCATGTTCAGTGGTAATTACGTAGGTATATGTATGCGCGTATTCGTTGGCACGTTGTGTAGAGCGCGAGGAATCGAATGTCCTCGAGCTCGTCCACAATTACACAGATAATGTGTCGACGATGAGCGCAATTACAAGCCGCAGCTATGCTGGCGAAGAGAAGCGATCCTTTTTTATAAACGCGAAGGAACAGCTTGAGCTTGTCTTCCAGGTTCTCGTCGGGGGACCTAAGCTCGGAATTCGACGATGAGCCGAACGCGAGCACGGGGCTGGCCTCCGTGGGCCCCAAGGACCCGAACTACCAGGGCCTAGCCGAGCGGCCGCTCCAGACCCAGCCACAGCCGATGGTGCCGCCGCAGCAGCCGGTGCCGGGGGCTCCGCCTCCGGGAGGAGGTGGTCCCGGCGGTCCGGCCGGCAGTGGCGACCTCAGCCTGAACCTCAGGCCCGGCTCGAGAACGACGAGCGCGCCATCCTCGCCCGCCAAGACCAGGGAGAGCTTGCTGCAGAGGGTTCAGAGTCTCACGGGCGCCGCGCGCGATCAGGTATACGCTTATATTTCTTCGCTTTATCTCTTTTGCAGCTCTTAGCTAATTGACTTATCCATTCGTTTATCCGCGAACGCCTTCTCGACTTGCATCGGGTCCGACTTAATACGGCGTAATCGAATCGGCTATTCACGAGTCGACGCGCGCCACCTGGCTAATCTCATTTCCTTCGCGCCTTCTGGATAAAAGAAGTTATTAAAAGCTACGCGATATAGTACCGAGTAGCAGATATAATATATTTACAGGCTTAACTTTTTCAGTACAACGCGCGACGAAAGATTAAGCCAAGTTTGCCGCCGCGCCGAGGCAAAAAATGGCCGCATTGAAGCGAGTTTCGCGATATGCAGTTGCGCAAAACTGAGATAATTGCCTTGGACCTTGAATCCGAGAGAGGGAGAGCTCGAGGAGATCGTTTAATTTCAGTTTATCAGCTGCTGTTGCCTACGCTGAGCCCAGTCTCTATTGCTCGCGGCTCTCTTTTCTTCGCTTTGGCTTCGTTCTAGCTCGAATCTCGGCTTTGTTTATTCGTTTCGAATGCGGCAAATTGATACAAACGATATACTACATAATGAGCTATGCAGCGCGTTCATAAGATTATTCCGTGTAAATATAGCATTGTGCACGCCGAGGCTTCGATTCTCCTCAATGACTTTCGCATCCACTTGCGGCCACGTCGCTCGACGTATCGAGTAATTTCCCAAACGTTCAATAACTCCGAAAACTAAAAGCAATTTCTGTCCGAGCAAGTTGTGCAATACATTGTCGATTTCTCGTTCGTGGATTATAAACGTCAACTCGGCGGCAAGTTCGATTAATCTTCGATGCGCTTCTATACCGCGTGTGCACCGAATTAAATCGTCGCCGTGTACGCCGCGCTGGCTCGAATGGAAAAAATTGTTTTCTCTGCTTTTAAGTAAGCCCTCGTAAAAGACCGCAAATGGTAAGAAGCGCGTGTGGAATAGACAATCCGCTAGCGTATACGTATTTATATTTAATGTGTGCGTCGCGTTACGGTGAAAGCTTTTATCGCAGTTGTTCTAACTTAATTTTCACGTGGCTTCGTTGCCTCTACACTTGCACGAGTGCATCAAGTGGGACACATGCACGCATCGTCGAGACTATACACGTATGCATACATACTTATAATTAAGTCGGAGATTTTACCGCACGACCCGGCCTGTCTCGCTCAAAGTTTACCGTGAAATAACGAATTATTCATCCAAGATAAGTGCAAAGTTGAACGAAACTCGGTGAAAATAGCGATAACTCTTAGCGTAGCATCTTTCGTTTAAAAATGAGGTAAAAAAATTCCTAATAAAAACTGTGATTGCGTGACGCACAGGGCGCATCGATCCTCGGTACTGCTGTGCAAGGAGTGACGAGCGGACGCGGCTTCGGCGGCAAGGACAAGAGCTTCATACTGCTCGTGATCGACGACCAGAACACCGACTGGAGCAAGTACTTCCGAGGCCGCAGACTGCACAACGACTACGACATACGCGTCGAACAGGCCGAGTTCCGCGAGCTGACCCTCACGGCCAGTGACGCCGGCTGCACCGTGTCCATGGCCGTCATTCGCAATGGTAGCAAAGTCATGAGGTAATTGCTACGTCGAGCCCGAGAGTTCTATTATCAACAAAATTTCCTATATTAAATGCGAGATTTTTACGTCTTGACGCAACAGGTCGTTCAAGCCGGATTTCGTGCTGATTAGACAGAACTTACGCGACGCCGGCGAGGACAACAAAAACTTACTTCTCGGTCTCATGTACGGCGGCGTGCCCAGTGTCAACAATCTCCAGGCCATATACAATTTCCAGGTGAGTCTCGCTTGGCTGCTCGAGGGCCGGGTCGGTTCTATTCAATTCTCTGTGTTATTCATCATATTTGCGCATTCTGACAGGACAAACCATGGGTCTTCGCTCAACTTATCGGTCTTCAACGACGTCTTGGACGAGAAGCATTTCCCCTTATCGAGCAAACTTACTACCCACATTATCGGGAAATGGTGAGTTTTCCATCAAGTTGTTCCTTTAACTTTGAAATACTTACCAAGTATAGATTGTCAAGTGGTTATAAAGGATAAAGTTTGAATAAGCTATCGTTTGTTCCTTCCATTTTGGTAACTTAGATTACAAGTTTATTGCTCTAAAGAATTTTTTTCTACATCCAAACCTACGTAGATAGGTATAATCGAATTAATTTTAAGCTTACATAAACTATAAATCAATAATACTTGGATATAAGCGTGAAAAATAAACAATGCAAACACGTCGCTAAGCAATACACAGTTATTAAATTTTAACATTTTCGGATCATATGATAAATGAAATGTTCTTTTCATTTATTCGAAAACTTTTTTCATCTTTGTTTTATTTGACGTGAACCACCAGACGACACTGCTTTTTCGATTGGGTTTAACAAACAAAAAAACGATTTTCTCCTAAACCGATGAAATTTGATTCAATTTTGATGGCTCTCGATATTTAAAGTTATAAATGACGTCAATGATGTACATGGTTCATCTACACACATGCACGTAATTTATGGATATAGGTCGAGTTGGTGGAAATCATAAGCGAGCTTGCTATCCCCAACGCATTTTGCTTCATGCAATCTGTAGATTGAAATTATAAATAAACAATCATTTATGGAAGTTAACATTTTAATTTGATCGCGTTTTTTCATTTTGTTCATTCGTAAAATCAAAAAAGCAAGTAATGATGGCATACATTTTTTTTCAAATTACTATAGTTGGAGTGAGGCATCGTAAAATACGTTTTTGCTACCTTATATACACATTATTGGTTTAAAATTCAACAATTTTTCATCGAATAAAAAATATATGTACAATTTTTCGCTGAGATAATTAATAGGGCTACGTATACATAGTAATTTATGACCAGTCCCAAATAATAAAAGTTAAAAAGAAAAGCGATTTGTACATTTTTGAGCATTGAAACATATGTCAGTCGTTTTGCTCTAAAAGTTCGATGCAAATCATCTAATCGTCTGAATTCACATACGAAATATCGCTGTTACAGCTAACAGTAGCCATATACGCATAGATATATATATATATAATCATATAAATTATCATTATCAATAAAATTTAACAGCGAGCAAATAATAATGATAAATAAAAGAACCTAAGAGTAAAACACGCGTATCGAAGCGGTGTACGGTGGTGTCGATTTCGATATTGCGCCGAGAAATAAATGCGCTAGATCATCGCGATTATCTCTCACGGCATAAAGTCCCGCATCCGCTGATTATTCTTCAATCTTTCCTGATGATGCTCGTGAATGCACTGGTCGTAGGATCTCGATGGCATCCAGAAGCAGCGGCCCTGATTCATCACGCAGACGCCGTGCTGCTCCTGACAGTCCGTCGGGCCGGGATTCGCCTCCCAAGGGCATAATCGGCCCTTGGCGCGATGCAGCGCCTCACCTTTGCGCTCGAACGGCGTATAGCTCACCTGCAAAGTCCACATAGCGTCAAAGTTGCGCGTTATTTATAGTAGAAAGTTACGGCTCGATTAGCTCATGATATCCCGGCGAGAAGTTACGATTAGCCGCTCGTTTATACGCGCGCAAACTGAGCACAGAGTGGAAAAATCAAAGAGTATACGTATAAGAGAGTAGTACTAGTGGTAGCAGTAGTTTAGTATTAGTAGTTGTGCGCCACCGGAAACTCAGTCCATTACCTGAATCATTGAGTTATAAATAAATTGGACGTCATCCAAAGGGAAATTGTAGGAATTTTTCGATAGCTCGCTTCACACCTCTAAGGGCATTATAATGCAACGAAGAAATTGAATCAGCAGACTTACGTCACACATGCATCCCTTGGCGTAGAGACCCTTGAAGGCTCGCCTCTGCCGGCGGCTGACACCGGACCAGCGCTGGACGAGATTGCACAGGCCTATCCTCGGCTTGCCCTCGTAAACCCGGCCACTGACTATGTAAGTCTCGCCGACGTTCAAGTGGACGCCGCAGACCGAGTCCATGCTCGCCGTGTAGAGCCGACCTTCCAGCAGGCTCTGGCTGTGGCTCTCGTTCGACAGCTGTGAATCGGATTCAAAGGAAAAAAACCAAGTTTGAAAGCGTTGCCAGCTTATTTCGTCATTCGGCGACTTGTACGTCGCGCGACTTATTCGGCAGATATTTTTAGGAAAGGAGCTTGCGCGCCTGAACGAACTGCATCGATTCGGCTTGCGGCAGCTCTTATACAATGGCCTGCTCACTCGCCGCGTACGTAGGATTTAAATATAACTCACCTTGAACTTTCGGTTGATTTTTACTCTGTACGCGGTCTCGTGCTCCAATGGGATGCGCTCTTTCACCTTAACGACCAGAACTGAAAAACGATATTATATGCCTTTAGTGGAGTCGATACATGATAATTATTGGCGCATTGCATTTGGCTGGCACCCACTGCGTAGTTTATGTAAATTTGAATGCTCAGCCGTAGAAGGGAAAAAGTGATAATTACCGAAATCCGAAGTGCAAAAGTGAGTCTGAGGATGGGTGTAGGAGCACGAGCAGCCCTCGGCATCGTTGATCCTCGCGAGCACGACGAGGCATACCAGCAGCAGAGCGGGCAACAACGTCCTCAGCGACTTCATCTGCGATACGGCAAAAGAAATAGAATTATAAAAAACATTTTCTTCGGCGTTTGAAAGGTCTTGATTCATTCGACTGGCGCATCAATAACCGATCGATCGAGAATACATGAAAGCTTGCGAAATTTCTTAAAATATAATTTCGATCGGAAAATTCGAGTTCTTTGTGTAGCGTGCGTCAGTGGGGCATAATTGATATATCGTCGCTACATGCCGCCAATGCGTTGTAGAACAGACTCGATAATTCAATGTCGATAATTGCACCTTTATTTATTTATAATTACATAGCCATATTATAATAACGATACACGATGGTGGGGTGGAAAAATAAAATTCAAAGAGAGAATTATGAAGGCCTGCGATCGATCGAATTCCAATAAATGATGGACGAGCTCTGTGCAACGTCGCGCATACAACTTTTTCTATTTCTCCTCCAGACGCATTAAGTACATTGATATGCTATGGCTATGCCGTCTGACGGTATATTATCATTTCTTAACGTAATTGCGCTCGAGGCTTAAAGAATACACACAAGAAGCGCATAAAGCTGCTCTCGACCTAGATGACTTTGAGCTAGGCCAATGGTGATGCCCGATATTTAACTCGATTAAGCACCATCAGCCGGATTCTTCATAGACGCATTATATATGTCGGTTCTATGTGCGTCGCTGCCGCTCTTGTTATTCGCGATGACGGAAGAATACATAGAGTCGGTGTATGCATCCAAGTCTCGGTATATGGCAGAAAATATAAAGGCATTTAAGCGAGTCAATCTCGAGTTTCTCGCGTTTCAGCCAATGTGTATAAACGGATAAATTTAGACTGCATACACGCGGCAGGCGTAACATGCAGCGAGACAACGAGACGTGGTAAGCGTGCAAAGATTTGCGGCAAGCTTAATTGCGGTACACTTTCTCGATTGGAATTCGAGAAGCTCCGCGCCCAACGCTCCTTACAGCATTGACGCCAAAAGCTCTGCCTACATACCTACTGTGTCAATTTAAAAGGACACATACATACCCATTATGATAATGATTGTGATGCAGCGTTGTACAAACGGCCGACCGCTTTAATTGATTTATTAGCGGGGTAAACATATGCAAGGCAGCTTAATTGATATGCGCAAGGGTCATCGTATGTAAACATTTGAGTAGCCTATCGCAAAGGTATACGAGCTATAACCAGTTTATTTTACAGCGTCAATATTGCTTATAATCGAAAAACGAAAATCAAAAAACATCTTGAATACGCCTTGGTCCAAGTCGATTGTTTTTCATATAAGAGAAAATAAGTCGAATAAAGAGACTGAAGGAGATCGGTGCAAGTATATTACGAGTGCGATACATTTATGACGATTCTTCTGGATTTCCCAAAGGTCTGGCTAAGTATACTAGACCGCTCTTCACTCGGCTCGAAATGATAACGATCCCGACTGACACGTAGTGCATCAAGCTGTTGGCCAGTTGTCACGAGAAAACAAATCTCTCTGGTTCTCCCGGAGCACGAGCGCGAAAATCACCGCCAGTTATGAAGAAGGACGTCGAATTTTCTATTATTATTCCTGATACTGTGTGCGCTGACCTACATTTCAACGGTCGAGTATGTGTGTAAGAGCAAATCCACGCGGTCCTCGTGAATAATTTCGGGACAATTTAACAGTTAGCCACGCGCAAGGACGCCTGGATATCGTAAATATCAAACTTTCTTCAAGCTATTATGTACGCCCGAATCGCGCTACAATTATTTCGAGCACGTCTCGCGGTATAACAAATGAGACGAATTTTAATCGATCCATAATAAGACTGCGAGGCTAAGCGCGCAAAAGTTTATATTAGATCGCAATAGATTTGTGCTTTTTTCGCAGTGATTTAACTGTAGTACACCGAATGGAGCAGGGTACATGCGATATCGCGCAAAATGACAAAGAAAAACATACGCAACAGAGGTGAATTTCCACGAGATTTTATGAGTGAGGAATTTTGAAGTTTCTTCGTAGCTTCCAATGGGTGGGTGAGCTGTGGCGAGGCAGCGAGGCAGCAGCAGAGGGTAGAGCGCATTCGGCGCGCAGAGTAGCGCACGCGAAAATCAATAATAGCAGTAGAGAAGCTCGGAGCGCGGCTCTCGTGTATACACTCGCTCCACCCTTAAATATATACAGAATGGCTATATATATATGGGAGCAGTGGTGGCTGCGGTGCCATAGTACACAGTGTACAGTGCAGTAGGTGTCGAGCAATCGATTGGCTTTATCTCTCTCTCGTTCTCTTTCAGTGCTCGGCAAGCACAAATCGATGCTATGCACACGCATTTCTACACGCACGTTCACATAGCATGCTTGAATTTAGCGCTCAACGGGGGTGTACGGTTCTGGATTTGGAAAATTTCGATATTTGTCATATACTCCTTCTTTTCCGAAAGTTGTAAACAAAAATTTTTTTGGAAAAATCGAAATATCTTGACGTCAGTACCTGCTCAAAGAAAATTAATAAAAAAGAGTGCAAAATTTCAAAAGGATCGGTTAGATACTGTTTAAGTGACGTTTGTCATCGATTTTAACAATGTCATTACAAGAAATGAAAATTGTATGTCTTTGAACATGGATTTCTAGTAATGAAGTTTTACAAACCGGTAAGAAACGTCACTCAAAAAATATCCAACCGATTCTTTTGAAATTTTGCACATTTCTTTTTTAATCCTTTAAGCTGTACTGACGTCGAGAAATTTCGATATTTTCAAATAAAATGTTGCTTACAACAAATTTTTCGAAAAAAGGTTCTTGAGATCATGCACTTTTACACGTACTTTTTAGAAATAAGGTTTTTTGAAGAATATAGCTTGAAATTTGTGTCGATCCATGTCCATGGGCAGAAGATGAAATTAGATTCAGAGCAGATTTTGCGGAACCGAGCTAAAGGTGTGCTGGATGTCGCGCTTGGCCCGTTGAGATTTTCGAGGCAAGATAACTTTTAAGCGCATTTTCTTACGGTCAACCGCGGACTAAATCGAGGCGCAAGCACCGGAAGGAAAAAGAACGCATGGCACGCTCGACTCGAATAAATGATAATCGCTACGCAATCCGTCAACGGTATCTGGTATCCACTCGGCTGTCGACATCTTAATTTTGCTTCGCGCATATATCAGCTTTCGGCCGCGTCACATTTTTTCATTCGATCTTATTGAGTTGGCGCGCGTATGGAAGATAAAGAAAATGCATACACATATACTTAATCTACAGAGCGAACCCGCAAGCCGACAGCTGGAGCACGCGTACTCGAGTATATTACAGCGAAGCTGCACGAGCTCTCGGGCGCAATCGACCAACTGACAGCGAGTAATTATCGTACGGCAAATTAATTTACATCGATCGAAATAATATAAAAGCCCGAGAGCTGCATTATAGACGCGAGGCGTGTGCAGCTTTGGCCGATTGATTAACGCGTTATGCACTGCGTGCTGCAAAATGACGAACTACGCGAATTACGCCCTCAAAAGTACAGACCGCTCGTGCACAGCTTCCATTGCATTATTTTATAATATATACAGGCACACACACAAAGATGTTGGACCGTACGCGATATTATAATGCATAAAATATGTACACGATACGGAGGTAGGTAACGATTGCATTTCTTATCCACGTCACGATCGAGGCGGTCCGCTTGAAAGGCTCTGGCGAGCACGCAGTTTTTCTCTCTCTCTCGCCGCGATGCAAACACGCCCCGCTTGCGCACAGAGCCACAGCTTGCGGCTGTACATAACGCCGAGGGAAAATTGCACCAACACGCACACAATAGCGTGGCGGCAGAGAAAGGGGTATAGCGCACATACCGCACTCCACCGCGGCGAAAGCGTGGGAGGTAGTGCATATTACAAACCGGTACAATATACTTAATGAAGACCGTGCACGAATATACCCCGATACACACGTTTTATAATCATATTGTAATGCAATATTATAAACGCGTCCGGCCGTTCAGCCTCGAAAGTGCTGTACATATATATAAGTTATAAACTAGGCAGATGCATCGAATTGCTGAGTCGGGCGAGAATTTCATCAATCGATTTGTGCAGCTTAACGAATACGACGTGTATTTAAATACATGAGCAACAGAAAGAGAGATAGAGAGAGAGAACAAGAGAGCACGTGCAGCGCACATACGAGCCAATGTATGTGGCAGTGCAGCGAAAATAAGATTGGCAGGGTCTAGCTGCGCGCGATGATTAAAATTAAGCGCGCGCCTACGTATACAAGCGTGTTATTGCCCCGCAGCAGTAGTCGTGCTCGTGCATATGATTGAATGCTCGACTGTCAGTCAAAGTAACACAATGGATGCAGGCCCAAAAGGATGAGGCAAACGAGCCACTATATCGGATGCCTTGTAAATCCTTCCTATTTTACTACCAAGTTTTACTACTCGGCCAGAGCAGGTCGGACTTTTCAAAGACCTTAGGCAGGTATAGCTAGATATATACGTACGCGTACACGTCTGAAAGCTTTGTTCGTTCTGCAGCGGCAAAAGCAGTTGAGACTATCGCTCATGTAGCACCTATAGATCTCGCAGATGTTATAGAAAACGATAAATTTCAATTGGCACTCAACTCGCCCAGAATGAACTGCTTTTATAAGATAAGTTTACCTACTCAATATTCATTCACACTTTTAAAGAGACAGTTCTGCAAAAAATTAACTTGCACATTGTGAGATTGATTATAAAAGTGAACAAGTAATTTTAATTTGGACTTGAATTTTAGGCTTCAATTTGGAGCTTTATTACAAAACAACCTCAAATAAAATCAAATAAAGCTTTACGTTTTAATGGTGATTGATAGTACGCTTGAAATGACATGAAAAACTTTAAATTCTAAACATAAAAAGTATAATAGAATAAAATTTCTAGTGACGTAATTTACGAAAAATTATAAAACTTTGCCTCTAACGATTCATACTTTAAATTAAAATTTCATGTCATTTATTTTATCTATTTGCTTCGCAATCAATTTAC